CGTCGTCGTCGTCGTCGTCGTCGTCGTCGTCCTCGTCGTCCTCGTCGTCGTCGTCGTCGTCGTCATCGTCGTCGTCGTCATCGTCGTCGTCGCCGTCGTCATCGTCGTCATCGTCGTCGCCGCCGCCGCCGGCGTCGTCGCCGCCGCAGCCGTCGTCGTCGTCGTCGTGGTCGTCGTCGTCGTCGTCGTCGCCGTCGGCGTAGTCGTCGCCGTCCTCGTCGCTGCCGTCGTCGTCGTCGTCGTCGTCGTCGTCGTCGTCGTCGTCGTCTCTGGGACCATACCATCTGGGGGGGGGGGCCCGAGGAATCCTGGGACCATACCATCGGGGGGGGGGGGCCCGTGAACCCTCGACCCTGGATCATATATGGTCGAGGGTTTGGGCCCCCCCCTCCCAATGGCAATGCTAATGCCATCAGGCCCCCCCCCGTGCGATGGCCCCCCCCCTGTGGGCGTGGGCGTGGCGGCTCCCCCCCCCCCCTGTGGATGTGGTGTGGGTGTGGTGTGTTGCTGTGGGTGTGTGCGGGGTGACGCCACGGTCCTCCTCCCCCTCTCCCTCCCCCCCTGTGGGTGCGGTGTGGGTGCGGCGTGTGGCTGGGATTGGCGTCATGTTGACAGCTCCAGTGCTCGACGTCGTCGCCGCCGCCGCTGCTGGTGGTGCCGTCGACGTCGTCGTCGTTGACGTTGTCGTCATCGTCGTTGTCGTCGTCGTCGTCGTTGTCGTCGTCGTCGTCGTCGTCGTCGTCGTCGTCGTCGTCCTCCTTCTCGCTCCTCCTCCTCCTCCTCCTCCTCCTCCTCGTCCTCCTCCTCCTCCTCCTCCTCCTCCTCCTCCTCCTCCTCCTCCTCCTCCTCCTCCTCCTCCTCCTCCTCCTCCTCCTCCTCCCCCAATCCCATCTGGGGGGGGGGCCCGAGGACCCTGGGACCCATCCCATCTGGGGGGGGGGGGGCCGTGGGCCCGGAGCCCGCGATCATATATCTCAGACGTAGGTTTTGCATCAGGTGTGTGTCAGTATGGCACCACAGCGTGCGAGAGACAACATTCGGTATCGGGCTCATTTTGGCTCAAGGGAAGAAACATGTACTGCGCTTGCTGCTGCCACACCGCCGCCTCCTCCTCGAGAGGTAACGATAAGGGGGGGATCGTCTCAGGGGGCACCATCGACCTGGAATCGGCGATGCATCTCCGATAGATCGGCGCTGTGCCCTCGACAGCGGGACCACACAGTCCTGGACAGGGTGGGCAATCGGGCCCATTTCGGCAATCGATGGGCGGTTGGGGGTCGACGCATCCCCACTTGAATAGATCGGCGCTGTGCCCTCGACAGCGAGACCACACAGTCCTGGGCGGGGTGGGCAATCGGGCCCCTTTCGGCAATCGATGGGCGATTGGGGGTCGACGCATCCCCACTTAAACCTATCGCCGCCGGACGCTGCCCCCTGGTATTCGGGGATGGACAGACCTCCCTTTAGTAAAACGTGGTTTAGTGAAAACGACTTCGGGCCCAAACCTGGCGGGCGCAAGCCTGGAAAATAACGGCCGCGGCGCCCTCTCGAGAACCGAAAACGGACAAATCACTAATCGACGTGTCACTGTTGGGGGTTCTGTCCACCCCCGAGGTATTCGGGTCAAAATGCGGGCTTCCAGCGGTCGGCACGATCCAGGCCCCCCCCGCGAGCGCTCTCGGCGAGGCGCAGCCGCTGGAGGGCACCCCGGGACCGGCAAACCGTCGAAAGCAGACGGAATGCCCGAAAACGTCGCCCCCACTGGACCTGCAGCCAACCCGTATGATAAGGATGCGCGGTAAGGATGCAAGGGTTTTGGAGTGCCACGTTGACGTTTTTCGAACGAGGTTGGCCAGCCAGAGCGGCCAAGGATGGGCCGAGGAGGAAAGGATGCAAGGGCACCCTTGGGAAGGTTGCCCGTCCTTACTACGCGGGTTGACCGCATCCCCGCTTGACATCGCCTCCGACTCCCCCTGCCCCCGCCGAACACTGCCCCGCTGGCGTTGTCGGGAGCGGCCAATAGGGGGGTGTCCAAGACGGGGGGGTGCAAATCATGACCGGCGGCATGTGCGCGGCCCGGCGGGGGGGCCAGGGACGTAAAGAAATAAAAAGAGGCGCCATGAAATCTGGGGAGATATCATGGCCCGCGCCATGATATCCCCCTCCCTAGTCATCACCCCCCTCTTTTCCGCCCCCGACGTTGGGGTCAGAACTCGGCTCTCTGGCGGCCGCCCGGCACGACGCGGGCACTCCGGAACGCTCTCGGCGCGGCGCGGCCGCTGGAGAGCATCCCGGGGCTGTCGCACCGCCGCGAGCACGCGAGGCGCCCGAGAAACATCGCCCCCCATCGCCCCCCCCCCCCTCTGGGCCTGCAAGGGGCCTGCCCTGACTCCCGATCCGCCGTACTTCGATTGCCTTCCCGACCTTATATTAAACTGGGCATCGACCCATCCCTGGGCCCACAGCCAGACCACGGACAAACACACATCCTCCGAAGCATGAAACCCTCCGCCGGCCAAACTGCAGAAAATTCGAGGGCCCCCCCCCCAGGATCAGCAAAAAACATCCAAACAAGCACGAAGAACATCAGGGCTCCCTTTCCCCAGGCCGACCTCCCCCGCCTGGCGTGGCCCCTGCCCCCCCTCTCCTCCTCGCCCGCGCGGGGCCTTGACCGTCGAGCTGTAGCCCGCGGCCAGCAGCGTCAGCGGGCGGCCGGAAGGGAGGCCCTGGTAGATGGTGTCGGGGTCGATGCCGCCGAGGTCCTCGGGGTACAGGAGGACCGCTGGCCCCCGCGTCTGCCCGGGGCGCAAAGCGAGCCGAGAAGCCATGCGCCATCTGAGCGACGATCATAACGGGCCCCACGCGAAACGGCATGGCAACGTTACGCCGCGGATTACGCGGGCCGCCACCGCGGCACGCTACACTGGAAGCGAGGGCGTTTACGCGCGACCTTTCCGCGGGCAACTTAGGCGCGAATTTCGGCACAGTCGACCCCGTTTTTCTGCGTCGCTCATCTGGAAAGCGGGCGAAGAACATGTTTGAAACAGCCGAACACATGTAAATCCTGCCCCGGCAAACTGGAATTCTGAAGCGCCGGCTGGGGTTCAGAATTCGAAAGAAGCCTGCAGCAAAATGAAGCCCAGCGGAGGGCCAATACTCCTGTGCCGGGTGGACCCTCAAGGGTAATTGAGGTTCGAATGTGGTCGCATTTTGAGTTTCTACAAAACGCAAAAAAAAACATGCTTGCGACTTGTGGCGGCAACTCATGCGCATAAAACGCCATCTTGTTCGCTCTTGCGAGTCGACACTCATCGAGGCCAGCCAGCGCAAATCGCAAATCGACGCTAATTCGACGCTCATCGTAGTCGACGCGAATCGACGCTCAACTGGCGGTCTCTCATCGATTACCAAGCGCTAGTCGACGCTAGTGCGCTGTAAGGACGGAACTACGAAGGCATACTTTTGTGTCAGCGACCGCAAAAGAATCAGACGGCGGTCGAACAGCGGCGGGGCGCGCCGGGGCACTGAAGGGCACGGAAGAGGAGGCACGCTCGGGCGCGGGGGGTTAGAGGGCCCGAGGGGGAGGGGAGCTCAACTCAGGCCACGAAGGACTTCGCGTGCGTGCCGAAGTACAAGTACTATTGCGAGTGCACGCGCGGTACCCAAGGTTTGCCGCCGAACCAGTCGGCGACGGTGCCAGGCAGTCCGAGCTCCCGCCGGGGAGCGGCGCAGCGGAGCCCCTTCCGCCACCGCTGGGGAGAGGGCCTCCCCGCTTTTCCACTGGTGGGAAGGGGGCTCCAAAGCGCTCGGTCGACCTCACCGTCGTGGCTCCCTCCTCACAGAGAAGAAAGCGTGGCGCTGCCATGGCCTTTCACAGGGCCGAACGGATTTCTTGGGCTGGCGCTGCGTCGCCCCCCGCGCTGCTCGTCGAGCCGAGAAGCCTGTGCGGACTTCCGAATGACTGTGCTCGTGCGGTTTTTGTTCATTCGATATCCTCGGCTCGCCCCTCGCAAGGTGCTCGGCCCCCCGCATTCCCCCGACCGCCGACTCTCTGGCACGGGATGCCGAAACCGACGCAGCGGGCCGTGGCGGTGGCGGGGGTGAGCCCCTCTTCGCGATGCTCGTCGAGCTCTGCGTAGGCCCGCTCGCGGCCGGGGGCCCAGGTCGGGCCAAGTCCAAGTCTGCCCCCCCGCTGATCCTGTTGCGAGGCGGCAGACATGATGGATGTCTTGGAGTGTGTATATATAGATATATGTACGTATACATATACAGACACACATATCTCTCTCTATAAATATATGTATGTATATGTGTATCTATATATATATATATGCACGCTCACAAACACTACCGCGCCGGAGAGAGACCTCCAGAGAGCTCGAAGACTGTCGGGCACAAATCGCCATAGAATACTGATCAAGCCCGTGGCAGGGGGCTGGGAGCCAACCGCCGAGCTTGTCCAGCGGGTCGTGGACGGGGACCCGAAATCACCCAGCCAACGTCCACCAGGCGAGCCCGACGGAAAGCCTCGAACCCCCACAGAGCCACGGAGCGGGCCCATCCCCGCACCGGAAAAGCGTCTGGCCGAAGGCCTATATGATCATGGAGTCCGCGCAGTCAACGCGTGAGGTCGCAATAAGTGGCCAATCGAATCAGAACCCACGGGCGCGGCCGAGCACGAGGAGCCCAGAAAGTCCTGGCACGGTCTTTGCTGCGAAGCCCGACATGCTGTTTCCAATCTTAGAACATGTCATCCGGTTGTGGCAACTCGTTGCAACGGCGGAGAGGTAAGGACAACACAGGAAGAGAAGGCGGGTAGGCTTGACCCACCGCTCACCGCACTGACAGAAGCGAAGCACAGCAAAGTTTGAAGAATAGACAATCTCAGGCGCATCCCACATAATACTGGTGTTCGGATTCTCCAAGACAGCTGGAACGCCGCGATCGACGGCGCACTGCAACAGCTTGAGCGAGACCTGCAACACACGATTTCCGGTGGCCACTCTAGCACGGTCCGAGAGCCCAAGGCCAGGGACCCCGCCGAGGCGAGCGGAATCGCGGAGCTGTCCAAGAACCGAGCCGTCGTTTTTCCTAGCCCGAGAAGGACGCGCAGGGAGTGCCGAGCCAGAGAAAAACACATTCACCAGACGAGATATGCGCAAGCACAGATGCAAAAACATCATCGCCTAGAAGGAGGTCGCCTGATGGGCCGCGTTTATCCCGCATCCAGATTGCGACGACAAGCTCACGGAAAGATCTCGCCAGCCTGGCGCTACCACAGAAGACCGCAATCACAAACTTCCTGCGGAGAGGCCACGGCAGACTCCGGGAAGCCGAAGGGCTGGTGCATCTCGAGGTTCAGCGACCCGAGGCCGACTGCTGAAAGCGGCGAAGCAGCTGCGTCTGGCTGAAACTGAGAAGCCAAACCCCCCGATCCCCGCCGCGCAAGGAGCGCGCCCAAGTCGAGGAAGTCGCAGCTGTCCAGGGGCAGCGCGTCGTCGAACTGGCCCACCTTGGTCGGCCCCCCTCTCGAAGAGGCGCAGCCGCAGGCCCTGGCAAGACAGGGCCGCGCCTACGTTCGCCGCCGGCTCGAAGAAGTCGTTTTCCACGATCGTGATGCGCTCGGAAAGCCCCAGGTAACAACTGAGCGCCAGCGCGAGGGCCAGGACCTCCTCGCGGTGGCCGCGCGCGGCCAATGCGCCCAGGATGCCCGCCAACTGCCTCCCGCGGGCCCCTTTCGCTCGAGCGCGGCCAGCACCTTGGCCCCAGCGCCCGCCTGCTCGCCGCCCGGGAACGGCAGGTCGGCGAAGTCGCACAGCGCGTCGTCGCAGAGCTTCAGGTTGGCCAAGGAGAGACCTTGGATTTGCCCGAACTCCCCGAACTTGTCGAGCCGCCGAGAGTTGTCCCTCCTGACAGGGAGAGACGGGTTGACACTCTCGAGCACCGTCCGCTCCCCCTTCAAGGCCGTCAAAGCTGGGGCCACCCCGCCGATCGCTCGAACCCGCTCGAACGCGCTCTGTCTCTTCGGCGCCGCCCGCCGACCCGACCTGTTTGCGAGCGCTGTGTCCAGAGGGTCGGTCTCGCGTGGAGGCCGAGCCAGATGCGGGGCCGAAGCCGGGCGACGCGGCGCCGGGGCCCCCGTCGGCATGCAGGAGGCGCGCCACATCTGCCGGCCCTCTCAGCCGAACATGGGGGCTATCTCGCACCCTGCGATCGGTAGGGCGGCAGTCAAAGATCAACCTCCAAGCTCCAGACTTCTTCGCCGCGAAGAAGGGGGCAACGACGACCTGGGACTCACAGCGAAACAAACCCAAATTGTGAACCCTCATCACGAAGTCGGAGTAAGCATCAGCGTCTGCTTGCAAAACTGGGCCCACGTATGGCTTAACATATTCACTCTGAACAATGCTGCCCCAATCATCAGGCTGCGATGTTCACGAGGCACCCTCTGGGCCCGCCCTCCAGCGCGCTAGTCAAAACCACTGGCGAAGCCCCGAGCAGGGGGGGGGCAGGTCCTTGTTGCAACTTGCGATGACAAGGCCAGAACCACCCTGGTAGTCCTGACCAGCGCCGAGCAACTCCTTGCGGGCTGCCTCGACGTCGGCGGCCTCTGGGACATCAATCCGACGAACGTCCGAGAGGTGATGCAGAGCCTTCTCCTACGACAGGGCAAGGCGGCTGGCGTCCGCCATGCAACAATTCAGCGCCTCGACGCAATCGGAGGCGCGGCTCAAAACTGCTCTCTTGCGGTCGAAGCCCCGCTGCAGTCGCCTGCCGCGACAAGAGGACGTCGACCACGAGGGCGGCAGAGGAAAAAGTGCGAGCTCAAGGGGGCCAAGCGGAAGTCGGACATCGGCGGCAGCTCGCGCCCGACGGGAAGCATCCAGCAAGGCGCCTGGAAAGGGGGGGCACAGGACCCCCAAAACTCGTGTCGGGGTCCTTCTGGTCCTTGCCAGGGCCGTATTTGCCCCCCAGCCTGAGCTCGTAGATAGCCTTCCTCTTCTCCTTCGAGATCGCCGCCTTATCCTTAAGCCTGTTGGCCGTGCAGCTCATCAGAGCATCGGGCATGCTGCCCATGCCTTGGGTCTCAGCCCAGCCCATCATGATGTCGAGGGCGCTGTAGTCGGGGTCGCTGGGGGAGGACGAGCGCGCCTCCTCCAGCACGCTCTTGCGGCGCACCAACAGCTCGGCCCCCACGAGGTTCGGCAGGTTGCACTGGTCAATGCATTGGAGCGCGTGGAGCACTTCGCAGATCAAATTATATTAAAACACTGAGCGGTCGTCCGTCGGGATGCGGGCAGCCACGGGCCACTCGCGAGCCTGGGTCTGCCACGCGAGGCCCTGAGAGCGCAAGGTGGCGGCCGTGCCCAGGGTGACCCGAGGGCCCTTCGGGAAGCCATCCAGGCCGGGCTCCTCGAACATCTCGAGCGCCCCGTCGTTGATGCTGCGGTTCCGCACGCCGTGCTCGAACCTCGGCTTCAGGATGCGGCAGTCGCTCACCTAGGACGCGCAGAGGTCGATCTTCTCGTCGCGAAAGCCGCTCACCTTCTGAGACACAACCCACTCGACGAACTCAGGCACCACACTGCCAGACGGTAGCGTACATGACGACACCGACTTCGCGTGAACGGCCCTGCGGGGGCCACCGCAGGGCCGTTCACGCACGGTTCCGAAAGGAACAACTTCCCCGCGTCCAGCACCACCACGACTCCGACCTGCTGCGGCACGCTGCGCCCCCCTGGCCCCAACAAAATATCTGAGCCTGCACTTCCGCGTTCGCCAAGGACGTCTGAAAATAGGCCAACATGGGAGGCGCACGAGAGGCGTAGTCGGGTTGGTGGGGAGGCGCGGGCGGGCGACCTGCGTCGTGCAAGATGGTAACGGAGATGATGTCGGGGTCGTTGCGGTAGACCTCATCATACTCATCATGGTCAGGAGTCGTAACCCATGCCGAGCGAAGACAGTGCCATCTGCACAGTCTCGCCTTTGTCGGCTGAGGCCACAAAGCCAATCTCATGTCGATATGTTGCTGCGCGGGTGGAGGTGGACCCGCCTGCGCCTGCTGCCCTGGGAGAGCGCCGACCAAGGCCATGGCGGGCACAACAGGAGCCCAGGGCCAGGAGGGAACACAAACTGCTCTGAACAACGCAGACCACGTTGATCCAAGAGATAGACTCGACGGACGGACCACCGTGATTATGATTCTCGATGAAGGTCTGATTGACAAAATTGTTTCCCGTGAGGCTCTCGAAGGGCTGCTGATACGAACAATTGCACACACACACACACACCAGCACGGTTAACTTCGACATCCACATCAATCGGCTGCATGGCATATAGCCACGACTGCCTCTCGGCTCCCACCAAGTATCCCCAAACAGCGCCAATGAGAACATGACAGGATTTCGGAAGTGACAATCAGTTGCGAGAAAACAGCTTGAGCACAAAAGACGGACTACGGACACACATGTCCCAAGGAATTAAACAGTGCAAACCACGGCACTGACGTTTAATTTTCAATGGGTTATCCCACAAGCTAAGGGCCGTATCTGGCCAGAGTGCAACACTTCCAAACAGGATTAAAAAATCCACGGGGGGTCCAAGGTCGATTGCCTCCCCGTCCAGTGCGGGCTGGCATGACAAGTTGGAACATGATGACATGATGTTTGCATATTTGCGATTCACATAAAAGCGGGCGCACGTCTCGAAACAGAAAAAGACGTCGGATGTCTGAGGAGGGCGGAAGGCAGGGTGCGCATGGCAGCATCTCGGAGCTCCGTATTGTGAGGATGGCTCGGGAGAAACAGGCTGGACCACCACGCGAGCGGCATCTCGGAGCTCCGTATTGAGGGATGTTCCAAGCGAAACGGGCCGTTCTACCTCTCGCTGCGCGTTGGGTCCTCATGCAACTCCCTGCCTCCTCCCTCCTCCTCCTCCTCCTCCTCCTCCTCCTCCTCCTCCTCCTCCTCCTTTTCCTTCTGCCTGCTCCCTCATCCTCCTCCTCCTCCCTTCCATCTCCTCCTAGTCCTCTTACTCCTCTTCCATCTCCTCCTCTCGAACGGCATCTAGGAGCTCAGAGTTTCGAACATGTCCAAGGCGAAACAGCCTCTCTCGCGCGGCATCTCGGAGCCCACACATGCGAGAATATCTCAGGCGAAACAGGCCGGACCACCTCGCGCGCGGCATCTTGGAGCTCAACATTTCGAGGATGTCTCAGGCGAAACGGGCCGGACCACCTCTCGCGCGGCAGCTCGGAGCTCCGAGTTGCGAGGATGCCTCAAGCGAAACGGGCCGGACCACCTCGCGCGGGCCATCTCGGAGCCCCGATACACGAGCATGTCTCAGGCGAAATGGGCCGGATCACCCATCGCACGGCAGCTCGGAGCTCCGATGTGCGAGGATGTCTCAGGCGAAACGGACCGTACCAGCACTCGCGCAGCATCTCTGAGCCCCAAAATGCAAGGATGTCTCAGGCGAAACGGGCCAAACCACCTCTCGCGCGGCATCTCGGAGCTCCGAATTGCGAGAATGTCTCAGGCGAAACGAGTTGGACCATTCTCTCGCGCGGGCCATCTCGGAGCTTCGAGTTGCGAGGATGCCTCAAGCGAAACGGGCCGGACCACCTCGCACGGGCCATCTCGGAGACCCGCATTGCGAGAATGTCTCAAGCGAATCTGAGCCCCGAGTTGCGAGGATACGAAACGAGCCGGACCAACACTCGCGCGGCACCTCAGAGCTCAGAATTTCGATGATGTCTCAGGCGAAACGGGCCAGACCACCTCTCGCGCGCGGCAGCTCGGAGCCCCGAGTTGCGAGGATATTTCAGGCGAAACGGGCCAGACCAGCTCGCGCGCGGCATCTCTAAGCGCTGAATTTGGATTATGTCTCAGGCGAAACGAGCCGGATCACCTCGCGCGCTGCATCTCGGAGCCCCGAGTTGCGAGGATGTTTCAGGCGAAACTGGTCAGACCAGCTCGCGCGCGGCAACTCGGAGCCCAGA